GACCCTGGCTCTGTCGGAGCGGAAGCGGGCGGTGCGCACCGCCGGGGACGGTCACCGCCAGGCAGGAGCCCGACCCACTCGCGAGTCTGTCTCCAGTGAACACCAGACAGAGCTGTGGCTCCGGGGCGAACACAGGCGAAGGGGCAGCGCCCAGGCCTGAGTTCAACCCAGCGCCCAGACAAACACAAGCAACAAACCAGCCAACAGGCGCGGGGGTGGCGGGGAGAAGGCGGTGCGCAGCCCCACGTGGCGGGGTTCGCGGGCCGCCCCCCCTTGCCCCCCCCACAGCGCGCCCCCCCTGCCTGGACCCCTCTGTGGGCACCGCGGCCCCAGCGCCGCCCTGTTTTGGTCTGTGCCAGTGGAGGCCCAGCTCCAAGGCCAGGAGCCCGGCTGCACCACGGTGCCTAACTCCTGCCTCTGTTTGTTTTTGTTTCTGGCAGAACTTGAGCCTAAACTGGGGGCCTCTAGCCTCTCCCAGGAGAGCCCCGCCATGCCTTGTGTCCAGCCCCTCCTCCTGCCGTGGGGTCCCCTCCGTGGCCAGCGCGGTGGTCCTGCTGCGGGGCTGCTCCGCTGCTGGGGCCGGCAGCACGGTGCGCGCCCTCCAGCCACAGACCCGGGCTCCCAACGGCTGAGGCTGGACAGCAGTCCCTAACTCCCTCCTGCCGGGTATCCAGCTCGGTGTTTGCTTTTAAAATAAACTCAACAGCTCAAGGCAAGCGCTCTACCACTTGAGCTACAGCGCCACTTCCAGTTTTCAAGCCCAGAGTTCAAGCCCCACGACCAACAAAAACAAAACAAAACAAAAACCTCAACAACACAGCCTTTCCCTTGATCACAGGGGCAGGTCCAACCTCATTTCTATGGTTATTCTTGCCGGTAACATCTGTGTACCTGCTACCCTTGCATGTGCTGGCTCTTTCCTCTCTCCCCCCCACCCCCCTCTTTGTGCCAACATCAGTGCTTGAACTCAGAGACTGGGCCCTATCTTTTGTTTTTGCACTGAGGGCTGGTGTTCTACTCAAGTGGTAGAACTCCACGTCTCTCTTTTTGGTAATTAGTTGGAGATAATTGGGAGAGTCTCACAGACTTTCCTGCCCAGTCGGGTTTCAAACAAACCTCGATCCTCACATTGTAGCCTCCTGGGTAACTGAGGATTGAGGCATGTAATCCTAGCTACCAGTAGCCAGTTTAGATTTGTATGGTATGTGTCTCGTATATTTCACTTAAACAACACCTTGAAGATGGGTTCGTGTTGTGGCGTGTATCAGAATTCCATTCCTCTTTTGGCTGAACAGTGTTCTGTTGCGTGGATGGGACACTTTTTGCTTACGTGTTCATCCGTCGTGCGGCACACGGCTCTGACACGGCTGTGCAAACACCTCTTTCCACTTTTTGGATCAATGCCTAGGAGTCAAGTTACTGAGCACATGTTGGCTCCGTGTTTACCTTTGTGAGGACGGCCGGTCTGTGGGCAGCGGCTGACGGCTGTGCCCTTACAGCCCTTCTTGGTGGACTTTTCCATGCATGCCACGGGGCAGGAGCCAGACTGGCCGGCCCCACAGGCCTCGACTTGACCAGTGCCTGTGCCTCTGCAGATCTCAGCATGCCTTCAGAGACACCCCAGGCCAAAGAGCTTTCTGCAGGGTGCCCCCACAACTTGGGCATGCACCCAGGGAATGGAAGCCTGGAACAGAGGCCTTCCGGGGAGAAGGAGCATGCATGGATCCGACCCGACACCCCGAGCAGGTGCACCTGGCAGCTGGGCACACCGGCCACCGCCTCCCCCCATCACCACGCCACCCCGTGAGTCTGTCTGTGTTCATAGGACTGTCAGTCCAGCGCCTGGAGGGGGAAGCCACAGAGAGCGAGGATCGGGGCCAGAGCCTCCGGTGTACAAGTGTGGGGACTGCAGAGCCAGCTCAGGCGGAGTTCAGAGAGGCCAGGGCCTGTTTTCACTGTAGCCCAGCACCAGGGGGAGCCCAGAAAAGATGTGGATGCTCCAGAAGCATTCTCTGAATAAATGCGCGTTGGTGCCCAGGCCACGTGCCCTAGAGATATGAGACTGTCTTAACGCATGGGTGGCTGTGTCTTTCTCCGTAACCTTAGGCTACAGACAGGTCCCTGGACAGAAGTACTTTGCTGTGGTGGGCTCAGGACTGAGGGATGAATAATCCTGTGTGTGTGTGTGTGTGTGTGTAAGTATATATCTATATATACTTATATATGCACTCATATGCATATACAAGCACACACACACACACACACACACACACAAACTTGAGCTGCCCATGCTTGTCTCTAACCTTGTTTCTTTTTCTAATTGTGGACTCCTTTCTGTTTTAGGGAAAAATCACCAAAAATCCTGCCAGACATCCTGAGAAAGATCGGCAACACTCCCATGGTCAGGATCAACAAGATTGGGAAGAACGCGGGCCTGAAGTGCGAGCTCCGTGAGTGCCTGGCCCCGAGGGCGGGGGCGGGGTGGGCGCCCGCTGCGGGTCACGTGATGGCGTCCGTCCAGTCTGGGGGTCCCAGGTCCTGGGGTGCGGGGCCGGACACCTGTGGTAGGTCACGTGATCACGACAGTCCAGGCTAGGGGACCCCGCATCTCGTCTCTCCAGCTGGTAGCCAGGAAAGGCTTCTGCCAAAGACAAAACAGGACCCTGGGGAGACTGTGGGTGGTTCCACCTGGGTGAGGCCTCAGGAGGGTCTGGGGCGTCCACCTGTGCTGGCTGCATCACTGCTGGGCCAGCAGCTGTGGCCGTTTGGTCCCGCTAGGTTTGTGGGGCCTAGTGGGGCCGCCGACCATTCATGACACAGGACGGGGATTTGGGGGAATCTGTGGGGCTTGGGTGGACACACTTCATGCCACACATTTCCCTTCTCCTTCCTTCCCTCCCTTCCTTCTTTCCTTCCTTCCTTCCTTCCTTCCTTCCTTCCTTCCTTCCTTTCTCTCTCTCCTTCCCTCCCTCCCTCCCTTCCTTCCTTCCTTCCTTCCTTCCTTCCTTCCTTCCTTCCTATTTCCTTTCTCTCCTTCCCTCCCTCCCTCCCTCCCTCCCTTCCTCCCTTCCTTCCTTCCTTTTTCTTCCTTCCAATACTGGAGCTTGAATTCAGGGCCTGAGCACTGTCCCTAAACTTTGGCTCCAGACCTGGATGCTGTCCCTTAGCTTTTTTACTCCGGGCTAGCTCTCTACCACTTGAGCCACAGCTCCAGGTCTGGCTTTTTGCTGATTCATTGGCTATAAGAGTCTCACAGACTTTCCAGCCCTGGGTGGCTTCAAACCTCCATTCTCAGATCTCAGCCTCCTGGAGTAGCTAGGATTACTAAAGGCATGAGCCACCAGCACCCATCCCAGATCTTAATTCAGCTGTTTGGGAAGGGAAGCCGCTCCGAAGCAGGAGGGTCTGAGGCCCTGCACTCATATGCACGCCTGTGCACACACGTGCATGGCGCGTGCCCCCCCCCAGCAGGCTTGCGGCTCTGAGGATAACGGGGGGCGGGGGAAGGTGTAGTCCAGCTGTCCACACGCGTGTCTGTCGGGACTGTCCTGCCCCAGGGGGACGTGTTATCTGGGGCTCCCTGGTGCCTTCCTTTCCCATTCAGCCGCCTGGCTCTGCAGGATGGCAGGGAGTGGTTCTGTTCTCGTCCAGTACTGGGGGCAGGCACAGGAGGCGTCCTGCCCTGTCCCTGTCCCTGAGGGGTTGGGTGAGAAGGTCCGAGCAGGAATGGGGGGCGGGGACCAGAGGTCTTCTCCTCCCTCGAGATCTGTCTCTGGCTCCCAGTGGCCAAGTGTGAGTTCTTCAACGCGGGCGGGAGCGTGAAGGACCGCATCAGCCTGCGGATGATCGAGGACGCCGAGCGGGACGGGGCTCTGAAGCCTGGGGACACCATCATCGAGCCCACCTCCGGGAACACAGGTGGGCACCGCTCCGGCGGGAGGGGCGGGCTGTGCCCCGCGGCCTGGCACCGGGAGAGGAGAGGCCCGGCTCCTGTCCCTCCTGTCCTCCCCTGAGCCAAGCACGGTCCCGCTCTGCGGGGACGAGCCCTGGGGCACCGCCATGGCCCTGTGTCCCGGGTGGCTGGAGGAACGGGGTTTCCTGCCTCGGCCCCTGCTCTCCACCCTCTACGCGGGTGAGCTCCCTCCTCCCCCACCCTGCGGGGTGAGAGGTCACGGGCCGGGCCTCTCTCACCCCGGACACCCTCTCAGGGATCGGGCTGGCGCTGGCCGCCGCGGTGAAAGGCTACCGTTGCATCATCGTCATGCCGGAGAAGATGAGCATGGAGAAGGTGAGCGGGCGGCGCGGGCGGCCGGGGGCGGCGCGGGCGGCCGGGGGCGGCGCGGGCGGCCGGGGGCTCCCGAAGCCGAGGCCGCCCATCGCGTCACCTTTCCCCGCACAGGTGGACGTCCTGCGGGCCCTGGGTGCCGACATCGTGAGGACGCCCACCAACGCCCGGTTCGACTCCCCGGAGTCCCACGTGGGCGTGGCGTGGAGGCTGAAGAACGAGATCCCCAATTCTCACATCCTAGACCAGGTGGGGCACCGGGGGTCCGGGAGGGAGCACGCGGTTGAGACCATGCTCAAGGAGGCTCGTTGGGATTCGGGTGCGGCAGGTCTGGGGGTGGCTCGTGTCACCGTCAGGTCTGTCCTGGCTCGGAGCCCTCTGGACTTGGTGGGGCCTCGTGTCTGCGGCCTGGGCCAGCGTCAGTGGGCAGCTGCCCTCCCCAGTCCAGATGTTAACGTGGCTTGGGCCGCCTTCATCTGGGGCCCCGCTGCGTTCTGGACCCCCCCCCCCACCGGAACCTGACTCATGTATTGCATTTTCGGGTTCATCCAGCTATTTCACCTTCTGAAGAGGGGTTGGGTTGCTGTATTGTTTTTTGTGCCAGTCCTGAGGCTTGAACCCAGGACACGGGCCTGTCCCTGAGTTTCTTTTTGCTCAAGGTTAGCGCTCTACCACTTGAGCCAGGGCTTCCGCTTCTGGTTTTTTGTGGTTAACTGGAGATGAGTCTCCTGGACCTTCCTGCCTGGGCTGGCATTGAACTGCGATCCTCCGATCTCAGCCTCCTGAGTAGCTGGGATGACAGGCGTGAGCCCCTGCCCGGCTGGAGAGCAGGCTTTAGGCCTCATGTCCTGCGTAGGCTCCTAGCAGCGCCTGTGGGAGCCGCGGTGGCCCTCGGCTCACGGCGCCTTTCTTGCCCGCAGTACCGCAACGCCAGCAACCCCCTGACGCACTACGACAGCACGGCGGAGGAGATCCTGCAGCAGTGTGATGGTGTGCGCGGTGGGAGGGACGCTGCCCTCCCCTGCCTGGGAACTCCTCTTCACCCTTCAAAACCCAACTCTGTGACGTGGCCCCTAGAGCAGTTTCCTCTCTTTAAGCCAACCTTGGCTTCTGCTTGTAGCACCCACAATGTGGTGCAGGCTTTGTTGACCCCACATTCTCTCCTCCAGGTGGTAGGAGCTGCTGTGGCAGGGACCCGGGCTGGCACTGACCCCAGCTTGGGATTGAGCTCCAGCCTGGGCACCGAGTCCCATGTCTTTCTCCCCTCCAATTAGCTTTTGCACAGGCAGGAGAGGCCTTGGAGGCCGTGCAGCGGCCCGCGCCAGGCCCCGGGGCAGCGGAGACGCTTCCTCTGGGATGGCTGGCAGCGTGCACTCGAGTTCCTGCCCTGGCACGGGCCGCGGGGCAGCTTTGTTACGTGCCCGGGTGGGGGAACGTCCAGGCATTCTCTCATCCAGTTTTACAAGTGAGAATTCTCTCACTTGGCGAAAGACTGAAGTTCCGGTTTGGCGCGGGTGTCCGCCTGTGATCAGACTTGCCTGCTCCTGGACTGGGCGCGCGGCGGCGCCAGTGCCCACTCAGGTTCTGAGCCAAAGCCTGAGTGATTTGGCCTCTTTCTGGTGCTGATCCTGGAGCTTGAACGCAGAGCCACAGCTCCTCTTCCAGCTTTTCTTTTCCCTATGTCAGAGCTGGGGTTTGAACTCGGGGCCTGGGTGTTATCCCTGAAAGTGTTCGCTCAAGGCTAGTGCCCTACCCCTTGAGCCACAAATCACTTAAGGCTTTTTGGGACTAAGAGTCTCACAAACTTTCCTTCCCCATGCTGGCTTTGAACTACCATCCTCAGACTCCAGTCTCCTGAGTTGCTAAGATTACGGGTGTGAGCCACCAGTACTTGGCTTCATTTCCAGCTCTTCTTGCTGGTTAATTGGAGGTGGAGTCTCAAATACTTTGCTGAGGCTGGCTTCGAACCTCGATCCTCACATCTTAGCCTCTTGAGGCTAGGATTACAGGCACCCAGCTTCTTCTGGGAATTCTGATTGCTGCCTTGATTTGAGCCATGTGTCTTTAAGAGTGGTGGGCTGGAGGGGCTGTGGCCTGAGACCATCCCCTCCACCAGGGAAGCTGGACATGCTGGTGGCTTCGGCCGGCACGGGGGGCACCATCACAGGCATTGCCAGGAAGCTCAAGGAGAAGTGTCCGGGGTGCACGGTGAGCGAGGCTGCGGGGCGGCCGTGGCGCAGGGCATGCCGGGAGGCGGGCGGGTTGCTCTTCCACGGGCTCCACACACGGTGCCTCTGGACAGCGGAGTTCTGCCTGTGTTTTGGCCTGGGCTGGGAAACAGTGCTGGCTGATAGGCAGCTCAGTCAACGCGCTGCGTGCATGCCCAGCGGGCCTGGCGCAGCGCCAGCTGGCGTCCTGGGGCCTTCCTGTCCTCCGTGGGGCGGGGGCTCCAAGGAAACGCCTGGAAGCTGTTGTGTCCCGAGTCTCAGTGTGTGCTTGGGGCGTAAGGGTGGTCCGAGGGGGCTGAGATGCTCGGCTGTTACATTTTCTCCCTGACACTCACCTGCGCTCCAGGAAGAGGTCAGTGCGCAGAGCCAGTGCCGTCCCCAACCCGCTGTCCCCCTCCTCACTCAGTACAGCCGTGGGATGTCATTGCGCATGTGTGCGCGTGCATGCGTGTGCCTGTGTGCGTGCCTGTGTGTGCATACATGAGTGTGGTGTGGTGGTCCTGGGTCTTGAACTCAGGGCCTGGGTGTTGTCCCTGTTTTTTTTGCTCTAGGGAGTATGCTCTACCACTTGAGCCACAGCTCTGCTTCTGGCTTTTTTTGTGGTGAATGGGAGATTAAAGTCTCCCAGACTCAAAAGCTCAGACCTGCTTTGAACCATGATCCTCAGAGCTCAGTCTCCCAAGTAGCTAGGGTTCTAGAATGAGCCTCCAGGGCCGGGTCTGGCTGGGAGGTCTCTTCTGAGTGTCCCGCCCTGGATGACTCCAGATGGATTGTTAGGGTCCCAGAACTCAGCCCAGGAGCACCTATGGGTGCCTTGTTTGCCTCCATGCCCCGTGAACGGATCAGCACTAAACCCAGCAGCAGCCAGGGCCACTGTGGGAATCGCCCCAGTGTCCAGTGCGGACGCCCCCAGGCTCAGCCTGTCGCTGCCCCCGCAGATCATCGGCGTGGACCCCGAGGGCTCCATCCTGGCCGAGCCTGAGGAGCTGAACCGGACAGAGGTGACAGGCTACGAGGTGGAGGGAATCGGCTACGACTTCATCCCCACGGTCCTGGACAGGAAGGTAGCTCACCCACCGCGCTGCCGGGATCCCAGACTGAGGCCGCCCCGGAGCTCACTTCCCGGAGCTCACTTCCCGGAGCTCACTTCCCGGAGCTCACTTCCCGGAGCTCACTTCCCGGGCTCACTTCCCGGAGCTCACTTCCTGGCCATTAGCGCGGTCTCCAGCCGAGCAAGGGCCCATGCAGGCCATGCCCTTGAGTTCCCGGCCCACCTGCCAGACACAGGGCAGGGCAGCCGAGGGGAGTATGAAGCCCAGACACACAGGGTGACCCCAGAGCCAGAGCGGAGCCCCCAGGCCGTGGGGCGTGCGGCTGCCCGGTGGGGCCTGGCGGGTGGTTGAGTTGCCCCGTGTAAAGCAGGGCACAGAGATCCAGGTTTGCAGGCCTGCCTTCCACATCCTGGGGCGGGGGTCAGGGGTCAGGGGTCGGGGGAGGTCAGGACCGTCTGAGGGAGCCCTCTGCGAGGCTGTCGAGCCCCCGCGGTGCCCCTGCCCAAGATGATGGCCTGGTCCTGCGAAGGTCGTGGACCGGTGGATCAAGAGCAACGACACGGAGTCCTTCACCTTCTGCCGGATGCTGATGGCGCAGGAGGGGCTGCTGTGTGGTGAGTGGGGGGGGGAGCAGGGGTGCTGTGTAGGGAGGAGGGGCACACAGCCCAGCCAGGCCGCAGCAGCCTCCCGTCCAAACGCCTAACGACAGCAGGCCGTGCGTCTTGGGTGGAGTCGTGTGTCTGTCCAGGTTCTTTAGGAAGTGATTCTCAGGGCCAGGCCAGAGCCCTCACCATTCCTCCCATTCTCCAGCCAGCCAGCGTGTCCTGGGGGTGGGGGCCCCACGGCAGTGGTCCGGGCCTTCCCGTCCCCGCCGCGCCCTGGGATGAGGCTGTGTGGCGCGGCCCACGCCGGCTCCCGGGCCCACGCCGGCTCCCGGGCCCACGCCGGCTCCCAGGCTCCCTCCCGGCCTCCACTTAGTTTAAGTCTCAGGAAAATTGGAAAACACACTGAGCCTGCTCCCAGAAACTGCCCTGAGCCGTGTGGGGGCCCAGGGGAAGAACACTGCCCCCCCACCCCATGTGACCAGATCCCCCACAACTGAGGTCCACCCTGGAGACCGGCGTGGGCCCTGGTGATGCAAACTTCCAGAACACGGCAGGGACCCACCTGGGACCCTGTCCCCGCCCTGCTCCGGGGAGAACAGGCTGCCCACGCCCACTGTCGTCCGGGGACCTTTCTGGCTTCCTTGTGTCACTGTGGCCG